CACGTACCCCCCCAATAGTTGTAACGGTCGATGAATCGTGGAAGTCGTGGATGGAGTGGAAACCGACAAGGTTGCTCAAGAAATGGGGTATCCCTTTGTGCCGATGTCAATGTAGCCGAGAGCGTAGGGTGGTGTAGCCGTGGTCGAGGTAGTTGTGCGAAGAACGTTGTGGTCGATGTCAAGTAGGGGTAGCCGGTGTCGAGGATGTCGCCGTGGAGCTGTGGGCGCAAGGAGGTGCCGAGTTAGACATGGGCGCAGTGGTGTCGAAGTAGTGGTGCACCGGGAAGAAGATGTTGTTGACGAGCCTTCGCGTCAGGTTTGCCGAACCCGGGGACAAAGGCACACACTACTAGGAAAAAGCCTACTAGTAGCGTCGGTTTTTGGGCCGCTACTGCTACGACACTACAGTTAACTTTTAGCAGTATTGTGGTTCATGCCCAGCGCTACTGCTACTTAGACCTACCAGTAGCGCGCCTCCACCCATTGCTGCTGCTAATATTCTGTAGCGCGTCCCTGGAACGACGCTACTGGTAAGGCAGCGCTGCTCGTACTCTAAAGCCCCTCGCTGCTGCTAGTTTTTCATTTTTTATTATGCTGTATTTGTATTTTTACAGGTTTTATACAACTACAACATACACATACACTGAAACTATATGAAAAAAGAAATGTCTCATCATCATTATCAAAGTGGTACACCATAGTCTCATCATATCATCATTATCGAACACAAATGATGTCAATCTCATCATCTCGAAATATCGATACAAGTTAATTATCACATGTTTCTTACATTGTCACCGCACACACATGTTTCATTATCTACCTAAACTATGACATACGAGAGGAGTGATATCGATGAGCAAAAGCGGGATTATATAGTAGTTTTTGCGGCGCCGGTTCTGAATCCTCTGTTGCGCTATGAATCTCAAGTAACTAGCTTCGGTTTCCATTCTGCTATCAAACCCTTTCTAGCTTCCGCCCAGGAAGCGGTACACTTGGGCCTGACACTTTGGCCACTCATCGTACACACCCGGAACATGCCCTACATACACGGCATACAACTTTCTCGCCATCGTTGATCTATATACCTGTCAGAGATGCACATATATCATCAAACGAATTCAATGATGATATGCACCATAAGATACGTCGGCCTGTGGAGAAACAATTAAGAAATAGCAATGTATAGTAAACATAGTTAACAAAATTCATCGTACTGAAACTAATTAACTAGAGCGCGGCACCATTTACATCTAATAGTTTCGTCACATTCAAAGTTTCATTTTACAGAAACTAACAACTAACTAAACAGACACATTGTCTTCAATAAGTGCACCCTTCCCATCTCTCCGAATCCGGAGGATGCACCCAAACTTAGTGAAAGGCGTCATGTCCTAACACTGTTGGGCTATGCGGGTTCGGACGCCAGCTCACAATATTGGGCCGCCATAGAACATCACATTCTCTTTGAGGACGTCTTTCATGATGATGGACGCAATTTCGTGCTGGATCCCGTAAAAGCCATTTCGAAGTCGATTATCCGGCATGACTCCAAAGGCTTCAGCCCATCTCTGGATATGGGTATCTGATGAAGATTTCATGCATAGTGATTGCTCGGCCCTTCTGTACTCCATCATTAGATGGATGACGTAGAATCAATCATTATCACTTCT